TCACTTAGTCTTTCCTCATACGATAGCTGCTCCAGTCCCTTAATCATCTTTTGTTGCTACACTGGACCCTCTCCAGAAGCTCTACACCCCTCTTGTCCTGGGTATCCCAGAACTGCCCCCAATACTCCAGGTGCAGCCTCACCAGAGCTGAGCAGAGGGGCAGGATCCCCTCCCTCCACCTGCTGGCAACGCTCCTCCTGATGCAGGATCCAGGATCCCATTGGCCTCCCTGGCCACGAGGGCACATTGCTGCCTCATGGTTAACTTGTTGTCAACCAGGACTCCCAAATCCCTCTCCGTGGAGCTGCTTTCCAGCAGGTCAACCCCTAATCTGTCCTGGTGCCTGGGGTTATTCCTCCCCAGGTGCAGGACCCTGCACTTGCCCTTGTTGAACCCCCTGAGGTTCCTCTCTGCCCAACTCTCCAACCTGTCTAGGTCTCTCTGAATGGCAGCACAGAAGCCTTAAGCCTCTTTACTTCCAGGACAAGTGTGCACTGTACCAGGTTAGGGTCCCATGCAGTGTGTTCCTTGCCTCCCTCCCTCCACCAAATTATGGCACAACTGTGTCATCCAGCACAGGAAAAATTGCCACCTACAATTTATTTCTGCAAAGTTATATACCAAAGCCCTTCATGAAATTCCCTGGGGAAAGTGCAAGCTGCTAGATCTAAAGAAAATACTACACTCAAAGTATCCTTTTAGAAAATATATATAACTTCGGTGCATCAAAACATTTGGGGAAATTCATAATGGATTCATCACCTCATTCATGTCAAAAAAGAAGAGAGACTCACGGTTTACATTCTTAAGCTTCCTCAAATGTACCCCTCTAAATGTTCATTAGAAATCCTTAATTTGGGTCAGATTAGCATTGGAGTGACCCAAGGTCATGTATTTTTATTCATTTTATTTTGGTAAGTACTATTAACCACCAAAGCCAAGCAAGTCAGATAACTACTTTAACAAATCTAATCTAACATCACTTGTTATACGGTAATACTTTATTTTCACAAATTCTCCACCTGCTTAACCTATTGTGCATACAAATATGTATACAATAAGCCTTCTTAATCCTACAGTCTAATGCTATCTTTGCAATGTAATGTTACAGTACAGCTATTTGAGAACCTGTTTCTAGAGGTTTTTTTTACTTTTAAACCCTTCCAAATATAAGTCACTACATAAGTAAAGACAGATTCCTGGTGGGTCAGATTACTCTGACATATGAAGTGTGGGAGGAGGATTTTTCCAGACATTGGGTACAAAGTTAACTATCCTGTTTATGTCTTATTGTGTGTCTAGGCATCTAGACACCAACGTGTTGAAACTAGTCTCTGATGTTTACCGTTCTGATGACACCGTCCGGAGACGAATAACTCAAGCTTATCAATAATCATGCATTGTCTCTTTACTGAAATGTTTTTCCTTTTCAAATATGAAGAAAAGAACGAGTCTTCATTAAAGTCAAGAATACTCCTTCCATTTCATTACCTCAATTGAATTAAAGTGTAGTCAAGATAAATAGTATTATTTAAAGTCCTCAGTCACATCTTTGGTTAGATACACTACACTGCCTGGGTCATAGTTGTTTTATTCTGCTTTAAGAAGTTTATTTACATACAATTGGTCATTCTGATTATTTGTCTCACTGCTGGAAGACAAGACTTATTTTGAACAGTATTCAGAGAACTTGCGAACACCTGACTCTATGCACCAAAGCTATTCAAGATCTGCCACTCTTCACATGCTTTTACATGGTTATTTTTATTCAGTAAGTTTACTAGCTTAGGAAATTTTATTTTGATTAGATTCAAACAGAAGTTGTAGCAAGTATGTTCATACATGTAAACACACTCACAGAATGGTTGATGCTGAAAGGGTCATCTGGAGATCACCTAGCCCAGTCCCACTGCTCTAGCAAGGTCACCCACAGCATGTTGCCCATTGATGGCTTCTGAATGTCTCTAAGGAAGAAGACTCTCCAAACCTTCTGGACAACCTGTGGCAGTGCTCTGTCATCCTCATGGTAAAAAAGATTTTTCTCATCTTCAGACAGAACTTCCTGTATTTCAGTTTTTGCCCACTGCATCCCATTGCCTCTCATCCTATTTTTGGGCAACACTGAGAAGAGTCTGACCTTCCCTGCAGATATATATTGGTAAGATCCTCCCTTTCAACCTTCTTTTATGGAGACCGAAGAGTCCCAGCTCTCTCTGACTTTCCTCATGAGAGATGTTTCAGTCCCTTAAACATCTTATCAGTAGCCCTTCTGAGACTACCTGAGAATGAGGGAAACAGTTATAAAGGCAGTAAACTCTGTAACAAGATAACATAAAAAGGCAAAGTAGTGTCTCTAGAAACAATACTAGATGCGATAATGCAAATAGTATTTTTTTTTCAGAATTCACTCAGATGCCTTTTATTTATATTTGCACTCTTGTGTCCCCCATTTCCCAGGGACATTTGAATGCCTGAGTTTCAGTCATGCTGCACCTTGCGGGAAGAGAATAAAATCAACAAATACCTAGCTCAGTTAGGTGACTGCATTCAGTGGAAGCCCTCTTTCACACTGAATAGGGTCACAACAGGGAGACAGGCTGCTTCAAAGAACCTAACAAAAGCTGAATATACAACAAATTACACGGGTGAGAAATGGTGGTTGTGTTCCAAGGCAAAGCAGGAAACTTTCCTGCCTATGTTCGTATCCTCCTCAGATTTTTCGCACACTCATAATCATAAAAGTCACGTTCACCCAAACAGGCAGTAGAAATAACACCATGTGAGCTGTGACCAATTACATTCAATCAACCTGAAATTTAAATACTTGGAGCAAAATGTCTCTGACCAGACATTACAAAACTTTAAAATATATATATACTTAAAGGAAATCAAATCTTAGGGAAAAAATCAACAGGGATTATATCTGAGGACCTTGGCGAACTTTTTGTGAGCACAATACTTCACTAAATTTGTCGAATTAATCACTTGCTATAGATTACTCACTTTCATCTAATATGCCTGGAAGCACCAGAGGGAAAAACAAAACAAAACAAACAAAAAAACTTATTTCATGGACGGTAAGTCAATTCTGAAAATGTTAGCTTATAAATGAGTGAGATGATAAATACTGCTGGACTGTAACTGAAATAACAAAACAAACTCCTTTCCTACCACAGCAGGCACATATTTGCTTCACCTAAAGTGTGCTTCTTCATGCTGACTTTTCCCTACCAAACAGAATCATTCCATAAATACTGGGGACATGAAACCATACCCTAGCCATAATATAGTACGGTAGTGAGATACAAAGTGCAGAATAGACCAAAAAATAAACTTACAAGATGAAGTAAGGACAGTTATTGAAGATGGAAATGTTTTTCTAGTAGTTAGAGCTTAGAGCTTAGAGAAAAACTACCTTCTACAGGTAAAGGGGGCATTATCTTAATAGCCTGCCCTTCTTCTTAGCTTAACTGTGTTGTTCTCTTTCTTAAATCTTGTTTTCCCCCAACGAGATCATTCAAAAGCAGCATCAAACACAATTTTGATGAACATGTTACATATGTCAGAGAAGCTACGTGAAAAAAAATGTTTTTCATACAGAACAAAATATGTGCAGAGCAAATTTTTTTTGCGAAAGTTTCTGAGAAACTAAACTTACAACTTCTGCAGGAGTTAGTGTCTTTTTGCTGCCTAATCAAAGCTTTCCAGGTTCCTGAAAGAGATACTTTCCTTACCAAGGCTGCCAGCACGACCCTGCATATCTGCAGTTATTTCCCATTTTCATTAAGAACCATCTCGTGGAGGTGCCTGAGTTTTAAGACTCTCAGACCCCAACAAGAATTGCGGTGCCCATGATCCCAGGAAGGGATGCAAGAACCCACAGAACAGCTGCTTTTCTCCTTCCAACCCCACTTACCCCTCTTAGACCCAACAAATGAAAGTTAACAACTGTTCCCATCATACTGGAAATCTCTCATCAACCTTCTCAACAATCTCTTTTGTACCTGACCATCCTGGTAGGCAGCGGCAGTAACCAGTGGTTGGATGACATCCATCTGCGTGGCTGCAGTCACAGCGCTCAGCACAGCCCATGCCATACGTACCATCCTGGGGACCAAAAATGCCGAAATGAGAAATTGAGATTTGAAGTCCTGCCTCACAAATCGACTGTCAATCTCTCCTGAATCCATAACCAGCTTACTTTCAGCAAAACACTTCTGGCTTCTAGTAAATTATAATAGTCTACATTTTCTTTCATTCACTCAAATATATCTAAATATTTGAATCTTACTTCTGTACTTCTTAGTAAGTTGTCACATACATTTTAGGAGCAATACTGTATGAAATGAATCCAAGAACCTGGTCTGTACAGAGCATGAATTTAAAACTGTTCTCTCAAAAGAAGACAAAGTGCAACACTAACGTGAAATTATAGCAAGCTTGTCAGAGCTAAAAGAAAATCTTGGGAACACCAGACCTGGGAATATGATCATGTTTTGGAGACTACTTATACCAAAGAAAACAGAAGAAAGCACATAAGGTTTAAAACCTGACATAGCCAAATCATTTAAATTCAAGGGTAAAAAATAGTCACAGTCATGTTAAAAATTGGAATAAAACCTGTATCAAAATTCATCTGCTGTTCTTTGAGGTTCATGCCTACATTTCTACAGAGTTCCTCAGAATTTTGCTATTCAAATCACACTTTTTCAAGTCTTAAGAGAACAAAATCATACACTGCTCAAGAACAAGGAGCATTCTGCTGGTCTCAATAATCCACTAAACACCAAAAAAAAAAAATACCTCAGATCAGATACACCAGATCAGATTTTGAAATACAAGAAATCCTTAAATATAATACTGAAAAGAGATAATTATAGTCTGCTGTACATTTTGTCCAACGGATTGGGCAGTAATAGACTATTAACATTAATAACATATTAAAGTGATTGGGCAGTAATATTAATTTTCTAAATGTACTGAAACAAATTGAAATATGCTGATTAAATAAATTGCCAGCAACTGTGGTTCAATGAAGAAAAAAATGCAGATGTCATAGAACATATCTCAAGTACTTCTCTGTTTGCTGCTCTGGAATTTTGTGGCAAAAAAATGTGTTGAAAATACATAAAACCTTATGGTTATTGTTCGATAGAGAGAGAAAGAGAGAGAGAGGGGGAACACACATGCAAGAAGGAGCACACTGAGGTATTTAATATGGAAATGTACTATAAGCATTATTTTCCTAGAATTGAAAGAGTGAGACAAATGCCATGAAACAATACCTTGCTCTTTTACTATGCCAGTTCTGGAAGAGCTAATGGATTAGAAAATTTCATCATCTGAAGATCTTATCAGAATCAGGCACTAAGTGGTAAACAAACCTGCCTAAAAAATATGATTTCTGTTGAAGATGCACTCATGCTTTTGTTGGAAAAACTGTATAAATAGGGAGTGATAGTATTCTTACTGGCTTTCCAGAATGATTTGACACATTTTCTGTATCAGTGAATATAGTACCATAACTAAAAACTGAAAGCATAACACCCTGGAAAAGATTGCTTCTGAATATTCTGAGAGCAGTGCAAAACATCAGACTTCCATTCAAAACAAAGGTGTGGCCTTCAATCCTATGCTGTAATTTGGCTGCTCCTACCACGTCATTGCTCAACAATGTTTGTTAAAAGCTTGTATATGACATGGGTGAGGAATTACAGTCTCCCTGTTCAGTTCAGGTAATCCATTTGGGTTAATTGTGTTAGGCCAATAACTACTGTATGGATAGTTTTGCAAATGTGAAAGGAAGAAATAGAGAGGAAAAGGGCCAGGGAGAAGGAATAAGTTTTTTAAAATATGAAGTTTGTTAAAATATTTCCAGAAAATTCAAGTCATTGTGGGAAGAAATGGGTGCTGGAAGGCCCCAGTGTCACACAGAATATTTCATTTTTTGTTTATGAAATATATTCCAAAGAAAACAATTACATAATTATGCAAATTATTTTTCAATTATACTTTTTTTACATTTTGAAATTATGTGTTTTTAATGGCTTCTCTAAACTACATATTACAAAATGGAGCTGAACTAATTAGAAGCATGTCTTTGCCTGTACAGTGATTTCTAATCTATGTGTTTCTCAAAGTCTGAGAAATAAGAGAAGCCAAAATCCTAACACAAGGCAACATTCTGAAACAGGATCAGGTGATAAGGGGGCCTACATATCCAACCAAAAAGGAAAGTTTGTCATTCATGCTTTGCTGCAGATATAAATTTATTAGAATCATTTTGCTAGATGTGGAATATTTTTCTTACATTTTTCACCCATGTGTTCCATCTAAAGTAGCTTCATGGAAGCAATTTGGATAGCATTTTATTTCTGATTAGCAGCTGAAAGAGAGGGAAAAACCTGGTAATAAGTTTTTCAACACATTCTAAAGCAGCTGGTGAAATGTTCAAGGTCAGGCTTTTGAGGGTAAAAGCACAAAAAATACTCATCTTTGAAACTTATTTTTGTGTAGGCATTTCTTGGATGGTCATCTTCCCTACATTCACACAGTGGAACTCTTCCAGAAAATTTCTTGAGGCATGTCACAGATCTTGAACGCCAACTGAGAGCGGACATCAACCAGAGGAAAAGCTCCTTAGGGGACTTCGCCTCATGAACCCAGAAGAACCGCACGAGCTTCTCTTTGCCCCATACCCTGTACGTGATGCTCAGTGAAACATATGAAATTACCTGGCAAGGGAGTTCACATTTTTCTCCTCTCCACCCAGGGGCACAGGTACAGGTTCCGTCCAGAGCATTGCAAGCCCCTCCATTGAGGCACTGGCAAGTCAAGTTGCAGCCAAGTCCCCAGGTACCGCTGGGACAATTTATCGAGCAGTCTACACCATGCCAACCTGCCAAAAATAACAATTAAAGTGACAAATTAATCAACTCCTCCACCATTCTTCACTACAGACAGGTTTTCTTCTACCTCCCATTTAAAATCTTGCAGAGATTCACAATAATATCAGGCTAACATTAACTACAGGACACTACTATCCTCCACAGATGAAGGCTTGTCTGAATTCACACAAAGGTGCCCTTGAGCATCTTGTAACAGCTGTGCACAGCACACACATTGCAAATAGCTGCCAACATTTGAAAGCAATTGATGGGAAACCTGAAAGGAAAACATAGACACCTTGAAACTTCACTAGGAAGCAGTTAACTATCCTGAAAGTTTTAAGGGACAGCCTGAAAAAAATAGGGGTGTTTTCCCTATGCTTGTGCTGCTGCTTTCACAATTCTTCCATCAGTATTTAGTGCCGACAAGTCAGTGGTATGGTTGTAACTGAAATTTCAGCCAAAAATAATAGAGGAAAAGAAAGACGGAAAGACGGAAAGACGGAAAGAAAGAAAGAAAGAAAGAAAGAAAGAAAGAAAGAAAGAAAGAAAGAAAGAAAGAAAGAAAGAAAGAAAGAAAGAAAGAAAGAAAGAAAGAAAGA